ATAACGAAACTGGTTGGACCCTGCATTTCACTTATGTATACCGCGGCCGTGCAATATGGGGAAATAAGCCAGATATAAGTCTATTTATAATGCCGATAAGCCTGCGTGGTGTTCGAAACACGTAGTGATAAGAAAGCACATACTTTCTAGCATTATTTGGAACATTAGCAATTTCATAAAATCCAGAGTATTTTACGAAAATTAGATCTGCCCATTTTTAAGCGTCTTTTGTTCCATCTGAGGGAGAAAATGAAATTAAGTAACGAAAGCATTTTCTATTAAATCTATAAATTTCCTTTATTTTTAGCAAAAATTACGCCAACACTACTCTTTTTTTCAAAAAGTTGTATATGAACTTATTTAAAGATCTAATTTTGTAGAACGTGTTTCATTAAAGAAAGAATTCCTGTCATCATTATTCTACTTTTCCCATATTAATTTTTTGCTTGTTTTGAAAATGCAGATTTCAAAGAAAATTGGACATGCCCCATTCAAGTCTTCATCTCTCTTCGAGGAAAACTCTTAAAGAAAAAAATTGAGCCGTTTTTTCAAAAATAATTGTTTAAATTTCCTTTATTTCACCAAAATTAGGTGAAAATTACTCATATTTTCGAACATTTGTATATGGCTTTATTTAAATAAGTCTTTGAAGAACACATTTTATTACAGAAAGGCATCTCTATCTTCAATGCATGTTCAATTTATATTGAATGTAGTTGAAGGAAGATGCCGGAAAAATTGAATATTTGCAATTTTCGAAAATTCCGAGAGTTGAAAGAAAATGCGCCATATTTTTAACCAGCCTTCGCTTTATGCGAGGAAAAATGTTAGTCCAAAAATTTGAAGCCAACTTTGAAAAAAATGTTGAACTTTAATGAAAAGCATCCGCAAAGGTCAAAATATCTGTTTCAAATTGAAGTTCACAGGGCTTTCAATTCGGTCAATATTAGAGAATCTCGATTTTGAAGAAAATTGTCTGAACGGTTTAGGAGCTGGCGTTGACCATACACAAACGGACGTTTTGCCGTCAACCAAATTTTTAATATCAAGGACCTACAAAATTTGCATTCTAATTACATACAGTGCTAGAGAAAGTAGTTTATTTCCCATAGAAATACCTTTATTCAATTTTTCCATATTAGGACCCGACAATATGCGTTTTTCTGACGAAAAATCGCCATTTTCCATTGCAACATTTAAATACTTTCTATTTACTACCTAAGTACGTGGAATGACGAGACAGTAAAATTCAGTCTTGGGTCGCGTGATCGTCATCGGTCCGAAAATAGCCTCGTTAATCGCAAAACGAGCTTCCCACTAGAAGCGCGGCCCTGCCTTCATCTGAAGCCAGCTGATGACGTTTCAGCGAAAGGTTTTGTTCTCCAACGAGCCAGACTCAAGAACAGAGTTGATTTTGACAATAGATTTGAAAATATCAAGACTATTACCTATCTAAATAAGAATCTTAGAATTTCCAAAACACGTAACAACAATCATTAGTATCCGAACGCTGTACAAACATATTCATCACTTACGGTATCAAATGTAATAAAAAGTTGACGCAAATATTGATATTTGAATTTAAATTTTTTCCTCGGGATACTCCAAATTACAGAAATTTAGGTTTAAACCAGTATGTATTCGACCTTGTTTCGCATATTAATTTAAGAGAACTTATATTAACACAACTAACTAAAGAGAAGTGTAATATGTCACATTTGCATTGTTTTATGACTAATAGAGATGATTTTAAGAAAAAGAGGAGTAATGAGTGTGAGAGTGCCAAGAAAGATGCAGCCAGTTGATTTACTCAATTTAGCATGAAGCAAATGTCACAAACTTAAAAAAAAATCATCGATCTTTTTGAATCTATGACACACAGATGAACAATAACTCCTCAATACACGAATGAAATTATTGTGCGTTATCAGTTTCTTTGTTGGCGTGATAAAAAATGGTGTGATAAAAAATGACAAAAAGTTCTCTTGTGCCTCGTTTCTCGTAAATTAAAATCAAAGAGTTCTTACAAAAGACTATATTACGTAAAATGAATTCAGGGAAATGGATAAAATAAGTGAACACTGATAAATTTTATGAGTATAACTGACTTCATTTACACAACTGTTGATGAATTGAATTGTATATTCTTCGTCTCCAAAAGAACAACATGTCTCGGTGCAAATTACTGGAAATTTGTTGAACTAATTACCTGCGTTTAGGATCTGATATGAAATTAAAGACCACTTAATAGGCATGATTATAGATAAAAGATAGGAAAGATGTAAGATATGCATATGAAAGAACGATTTTTTTTTCGTTTTGTTAAATATTCATAACACAATACATAAACCAGATTTGTAAACAGTTCTAAGTCTCAACCTCGAACTTTGTGAGTTCATCTTTCGTCTCACTGTTTGAAAGCACGAACTCGTCAAGGCTTCACTGTGCAATGCTACCTCAGGCCCAAAACAAGTATCGCGCAATGCTCTAACACAAGCCCACATTCCCTTCCTTCGAATGGTCGGTGAGCGCGGTATAAACACAGCAGAAGCCGGGCCAAAGAACCCCGTCTACAAGAAGAGCGCATCTAAAGCCGCGAGCACGGGGGGGGGGAGCGGGGCGGGGCGCTGCCACTGTGTTCCGCGCTAACAGAGCGCGACGTTCGGGCGCGAGCACCTGTCCGCCCCGCGCCGCTCTCTGATTGATTGCGAGCGCTCCCATTGGCGGCGCCCACGCCAGGTGGGGACGGGAGCGGCGGTGGGGGCGGCGAGCGGGGCTGTAAAGTGTCGCATGGCACACGTCCACGGGGCGAGTCGCGCTCCAGCAGCGGCGGCGGGGCCACCTTGCGGGGGAAGTTGGGATAGTACACGCATGCATCGGAAATCTCGTGAAGTGGACATTACAACCACTGTCACGTTGAATCAATCGTGTTTGTACAAGATAGAATCGGTATTGTGAAATTTTCCTGATAATGTATTTATTATTTAGTTCTTGAAATACCTTGAGTTACTATTCTGCATCGGAATGAAATAATGAATATGTAATTTTCATTCCAAACTGTACAAAACAGTCTGGAATGAAAATTGGGAAATTATTCAGCGGTAAATATTCATCATTAATTATAACTATAAAATAAAACTGCTAGTAGACTGTTCAAGACAGGAAGAATTTTGTTTTAATGACAAGATTAAATTTATATTCTGATTCACATGGTTTGGAAGCCTCCTTCCATCATCCTTAAATAGTTTTGAAGTAACATTTATATTGTTAAATTAATATATAGGAAAGGAAGAGCATATTCATAATGGAAATACTGCGTTGGATTTGGTGAGATCAACAATTATTGTTTTGAATAAATTGATGGAAAGTGTTTTGAATAAAATTTTAAGTGTCTATAGTTGCTGGATAAATGATCGCTCAAATCCCTTGGAGTTGTGTCAGTACCAAACTTAATTACTACTGTTTTATAAATTTTATAAATAGAGGAGAACTAGTAAATATTGCCAGTTCACCGTGGTTCAATATTTTAATACTGATGTTCTACTCATTTAGAATACGTTGAAATTTATACACGACTTCACAGATTCACTTTTGAGTAATATTTGTCGCTCGAAGCTACAACTCTAGAGCGACTAGTTAGTGACAGAGTTATTACTTATTAATTACATCTTCAGAAATGTTTGCGTATTCTCCTGCATATTATAAAGAATAGAAATCTGAACCTGTGGCCTAGAACAAGCTCAATGAATTTTATTCACACATTAACTCAGATCTAATCATGTGTGATGTGATCTCTCATCTCTTTCCCAACAATTTCTTCTTTTATGTCTAAAAATTAAGTATTATATATTATGCAGGGAAAATGCTGGCAGGGTGTGAAAATGCAAATATAATTTTGAGGTAAATGTAATTGTTGTATTGACAACACACCGCGCGGATTATTTTTTCTCATTTGTAATTGTATATCAATATATAGAAGATATTTTTGAAAACACACGAATTTCGCGTGGATTCGGGTAAGATTTCTGACTTCCTAAAGGATATTATCTTCTAGATATTTATGTTACTCCATAATTTACAATTGCATATAGCAAAATTGTAGTATTGTGATATATTAATAAGGCCAGCCCTTCAATGAATGAGATATGATACAAACAATTTTGTGATAATCCATACTTCTGTAGTAGTTATAAATGCGTTTCAGTTATTAGGAAGCCTTACAAATCGGCATAAATGGTATGTACTTTGCTCATTTTATCAAGAGAGTAATGATATCAGTCGTGGTAATAATATTGTGTATTTTCTTCTATAACATTTCAATTTTTGTCTGAGGTTTCTGAAATAAACTGTTGCATGCGACAGGATAACCCACATCATCTCAAGGTACACGAAGAGTGTTGTGAATTTTTGTTATACAAAATACTTTCAAACATAAAAACATTATTTCATATTACAGAATATATATTTTGTTGCTTTCAACCACACGAAATTAAAGCTTTGGGCTCGCCTAGGAATTAGTTATTTGAATATTTCTCCTTCAAGGGAGAACTGTTGTAAAGAGTAAGTGGAAGGGAATGGTTAAGAATGCCGTCGGAGAAAAATTAGTATTCAATTTCTAACTCAAGGTACAAAATGATCTTAAAAATGACAATCAATGTATTGCCATGCCTTCAATGTATTCTACAATTATTTATTTATAAATCAGGCATTTTATATTCTGTCATAAAATACAATTGCATACGACATTAAGCAATAAAACTTTAATAACATAATATTTCATGTGGATCGCTGCAATCGCGTCCAATTATCTTCCGCCTGGGTAGCAACCCTGGCTAACCGCAGACCGCCGTGGCGACGCGTAGTCGACGCGAACACGGATAGCGCTGGAAGAGAAAATTCCTCCCGTGGCCAGAACACGGAACGAACGAGCGCTCGCGCAAAATATTACAAAACGTTCTTACATGAAGATCGACAGCAGACGGCCTATCGAGTACCCAAACATGGAATATTGTCGTTTCTTTAGCCCTAGAAGAGAAAGTGAGTCGATCTGTGGCGGAGGGGGCGGGAGCGGTGGCGAGGGCGCCGTGCGGAACGGAACGTCACGTTCCCCCTTCAGCACCCCTTCCGCAGAGGGGGGAGGGGAGGGGTGGTAAAAAAGCCCCCAGCGCGCGGTTCGTCGCTGGTGCCGTGTCCGCGTCGCCTCACTCCTTCCTCTGCCGGCTTTCTCTTCCCCGTTGGCTCAACGAAGAATCGTTCCCAGGACCTCCCAGGCGATGATCTGTACGGATGGTTAAGTAGAAACACCAAAATTGACTCAATGGCGAAGAAAGCATTAAAAGGCTGTATTTCGAACATTTTAAATTTGCATGCGTTATTTTAACTTGCATTGAAACTGCTGCAATAATTCTACAGAACGGGTTTTTGTAGGTCCGTAATATTATTTGAAATCTAATTTATTCCCTGACCAATACACATAATGTCTCAGAAAAAACTGTTAGAAAGTTTTCGGATGTGTGGATGAATCGAAGATGATAAAATTTTTTTAATGAACTTATGGTAGAAAATTGCATGCAAGGAAATTACACATGTGTCATTTATCCTTGACATAGTCAACTCTGGAAGCCACGTTCAGACGCAAGAGATGTTTTGATGTCGAGATCTGAGGTTTCGAAAAACCTGCGGAACATTGGTGTATGAAGAATTATCTAACAATCAGGGGCAAACATTGCATGATGAGAGCCTAGGCTTCCGCAACCAGGCATACTTGTCTGTTCGGGAGACCTGCGTCCTAGGCACAGGTGCCAACATTTTAGCCGCCATTTTGAGATCTTCCTTTTTTCGCCCGAAGGAAGGTCGTAGAAAGTCAGCAGAAATGATGGCACCTGTGCCTAAGACGCAGCGTCTCCCGGATAGCCAAAACGTTATCACATGTGTAACGTTCCAACGACATATTTACCGATATATATTGGTCACCTGCGATACTTTACATTCCCTAGATGCAACATTTATTACGAGACATTGTATAGTTCCAAATTACTTGTTTCCGATTTGGTAAGACAACTTGCGTAAATCAAGTTCTTAAATCCTCTGTTGTGGTGTTTTTTGTAACTGCTGCATCTAATCCTGACATAAGTGTTTCACGCTTCCAACGCAATTTTCAACTTTAAAATAATTTTTTTAAGGAAAACTGTAATGAAAATCAATATATGAAACTAAAATATAACAAAAAATAATTATCATCATGCAACAAAAGTTATTAAACACAATCACACGATTTTCCACCATCATTTCGTAATTTTTTAAAACTAGTAGGGCTACAACAACACTTTCTCGCGTAAGTTGAATCTGCTCCAATTATTTCCAGCACATCATACAGACAAGCAAGGATAATTCAACATTTAAATTGAGCATCCAGAATTAATGGCCATCCAATATATCGCTTTATGAATGCTTTCGAAACTTCTATTTCATTATTTTATGCGGATTTGTATTTACATATTTTTCAAGACTTAACTAAAGCTGAATATACCATTTTATTGAAAGCAGATAACACTGTAACATTAACGTTAAGTAAATCAATTCGCGTTATCTCATCTCCCCCTCCATATCACAAACTCACTGATAGGGAGACAGAGACAGAAAGACAAACAGAGTGAGAGAGAGAGAGAGAGACAGAGAGAGAGAGACAGAGAGAGAGACAGAGAGAGAGACAGAGAGAGAGACAGAGTCTGCAGAGAGACTGAGGTAGAATGACAGAGACAAATGCAGAAAGGCAGAGACAGACAGACAGACAGACAGACGCGGACTGAGACGTTGAAACAGAGGCAGACAGAGAAGGCGACACAGGGAGAGAAACAAACAGAAAATAAAATAATTGAATAAAAAATTAACTTTGAAGCACCGAATAATACGTTTACGGCATCAAAAACATATTTTTTCATTTCCTTTTTTACATAAATAACCGACACATTTCTGAAATGTATCCCCTTGCGAATCAGAGAGCAATTTGTCACCACCTCAACGAAACCTAGGAAATTCGTATTTTAGGAATTTCAGGCATTTTTTAAAATGAGAGAATGCATCGAAAATGGAACCAACCCACTTTCTTTGTTACATACTTTACAAAATGCAAAGAAAAAATTGGAGCCGTTTCTAAGAAAATAATTGTTTGAAACTTAACAATTGACTCTCTTTAACGCAAAATTACGTAAAAGTCTCATATTTTCGAAAAATCAACATGACTTTATTTGAAGATGTGTTTCTGATAAACATATTTCATAAAAAAAAAGGATTTTCATAGTTTTAGTTGTAGGAAGAAGATGGAGAAAAATTGAATTTTTGCAATTTCCTATAAATCAAGGACTTAAACGAAAATAAAATGCTAGGTGAAAATTTGATCAAAAAATGTAGTATCAATTTTGAAAAAAAAAATGTGTTTAAAAAATTAAAACCTGCCTTTATTTCACACACAATTACGCGAAAAGTACTCAATTTTTGACAAATTTTATGTCCTTATTTGAAGATGTCTCTAAATAACAGTTTTTATTAGAGAAACAAACTATCTTTAATAGTTTAATAGAAGCAAGACAACGAAAAAATTGCACTTTTGCTATTTTCGAAAAATCAGGGAATTCAGTAAAAATGAGGCTTGCATCATTTTCTCGAGCGAATATTATGCTATTCGACATCAAAATTTAAAACAAAAATTTGGTATACTTTTTAAAAATTATGAAAATGTCTCAGGAGATTCTTGTAATGTTAAAATACCGGTTTCAAATCCAAAAGGCCGAGACATCACTAAGATCATTTGGAGAATATGATTTTTGGAGAAAATCGGGTGAATGTTTTAGGCGCTAGCGTTGACCACTCCCCTACTACACACCCCCACAGGAAAAGTGTATAGGCTTGTTCAGAAAGATGAAGAGCTAGCAAATTACTTCGCATCCACATTCACCCTAAATAATACAAAACCGCAACCTAGTCATCTCACAATCAGCAAAACAGTAAACGAACAGTCATACGGCCTACATCATAAAATACACTACACATCACCTAAATAAAACAAACAAACAAACATATAAACAAACACATAAATAAATAAATAAATAAATAAATAAATAAATAAATAAATAAATAAATAAATAAATAAATAAATAAATAAAATCATGAAATGATGAAATCACTACCTGACAAGAAAGCCCATGTACATGATAAAATAAACAATTTAATATTAAAAACCTTCCCCAAATATCCAACCAATATATTCAACTCGTGTCTCAGACTAGGTTACTTTCCGCAAGTGGAAACATGCAATCATTCGTCCGGTACAAAAACCAAACAAGGATGCATCTCAAACAGTTACAGACCAATCAGTCTGCTGCCCATGCTATCTGAACTTCTAGAAAAAATAATATTGAAACGATTTAAAACCCACCCCATAACGCAAAGACCTATGGAAAAAATGGAATTTACCGGAAAAGTGTCCACGCCATTAGAACTTTTGCCGTTACAGTCGATTCAGCACTCTAATCCAAAAGTGGTCAAGGCAGGTCTTCCCGAAGGCTTCCCCTTATCTGCCGCTCTTTATAATTTGGACGCAGTAGACCTACCAACACATAGTAATATAAAAACTGCCCAATTTACAGATGACATGGCTATATACAATCTTTAGTTATATCTATAGCAAATCGACAGCTGGGCAGGCAAAAACAAAATTAAAATCTTGCATACCCCTATCCCCCTTAAAAATTGAATCAAGAACCTGTACAATGGCATCCTCATAAGAAACTCATAAAATCAAGAACTATTAAAAGAAAGTACTCTCGAAATTGAAAGTTACAGTAAGTCATATTTGAATGAAAGCATTTGAAAAAGTATTTTAAGGATTCAAAATAACGGTTTACTTTTTCTCCTTACAATTTTCAGCGAGAAACGTACTTCATAATTTAGGCAGTCAATGGTCCATAATTTTAATAACTATTCATCCAATCATTTTACTTTTTAAATCAAACGACTACAAAAATATTTGACTTACCTCTTTCACTTTTTCAGCCTATTTTCCTTTCTCTTAAACAAACACGTAAACCAAACGTAATACTGTAGGAAAATGTGCCTTTTTTGCAAGGGAAGACTCGTTTAGGAGGTTCCTCGAACCAAAGAAGTGGGTTTTTTCTTGCTGCTGTAATTATTTGGCTGAATTCGTTATGTAGTTAAATTCGTCGTTTTGTGGATTTGTCTGACCCTCTCCGACCCTCCGGGAATTTACACTCGTCCACAACAATGGTTTTTATGAGCACGGAAATGGTAGCATGGACTACTGGGCGTGTAAATGTTAGTCGAGGTCCGAAATGGGCGTAAAAACTCTCTTGGCGTGGTGTATGTGGAGCGCAAGGGTCTTCTTCCCTGAGATTTTTTCCCTGGATAGCTGAAGCCCTAGTCGGTTCTTAGCCGGTGTTAGACAGCAGCCTCAAGGAGGGTAGAACCAGATCGATAAGATAGCCCCGACTCAATAAAAGGAGAAGATTTTACTTGTACGAAAAACCCTGTGCCATTTTGTAGCGTCATAAATTTCAATAGTAGCTACAAGAAGCAATATTTTAGAATCTAAATGTACATTTGAATGACAACTAACTTGTTTATATTTTCCCGTTAAATTGTGCACAATTGTTGTAAATAGCTGACATAGCTAATAAACATCTTCATTGAAAATAAATAAATCTGTTATTTCCATTGTTAAATCATAATGGGGCAATTTGTATTCTATTCATCGCCAATATTCAAACTATTCTGGGTCTAAAAAAATAGATTTCAGATTAACGTGGAAATATATAGTATTCTCTTATTCTAGTGATGAAATCGCTTTCCAGAAGTGAAAGGACTACCGGAGTTTTATGGGCATTGGTGCATGCAATGCGCCATGCATTTACTGTCTTCGTTACCAGAGAGCGCGGTGGTGGCCTCTGCAGTCGAAGTTCCATTTAATGATACCACAATTGTCTTTATTATTATCTTCAATGATGGATAAAGTTTTTTCAGTT